AAGTGAAAACAAACTAGCACTGTAGGCTCCTGACTTCATAGTCACATCTTAATAAAATGCTTGGGAGCCTACCAAACATTTCATGTTCTTTATGGGAGTCTATTAAACATTACATACTTTACTATTCTAAAACATTGAATACAGGGAGGGAATAGAGAGTAGAAAACTGGATATAACCAGTGATATTAAAAGTTACACTGAATATAAACTATGATCCTTTATTTGTATCTATAGGACTCAAGATTCCCATACATTCTTAGAGAAAGTAAACTAATATACTGTTTACTTTTTTAATATATTAAAAAACTAACCATAACTTAATATATTATCTTACCTAAGACTTTTCAGAAGTTACTGCTTAAAGGAACAAACTCATTTTTTAAAAAACAGAAAAGAAAATCAATTATTATATTAGAGCACTAAAGGAAACATAACTTAATAGTGCAACTCTATAAATTTGGCTTTTCATTCTTCAAGATAAAGACCAATATAAAATATTAACTATCAATATTAAGGGGATTACAGGTTTTTAATAGATTAGGTAACTACCTCCAACACTGTTAGAAAGAGGAAGGATATAAAAACTGCTGTGTAGCTACACAACCTAACAGAAATATTAGTTTCCATGATAGTATACGTATGCTTAAAAAATACCGTGAAAAGATTTTTTAAAACATGCATTCAAAAACATGCAAAAACCTGTAGTAAAGCAGAAAGAACAGTACATTTTTAAGCTTCTTGTGTAATCTTTGCATGTGAACAAAATTTGAATGGTCATTCCATAAACATTACATTGTTATAAGTTTCTTATTTGTCTTCCCCACCAGACTAGGAATTTCAAAGAGCAGATACTTGTTTTTTGATTCAAGCATCCAATACATAGCAGGTGCTCAGCAGCAATAATAATTATCGTGAAAGATAGCATTTATTTTACCCTCACAACAACCCATTGAGGCAGGAACAATTATTGGATCCATTTTACAGCTAAGGATACCGAGACAGGAAGTTTAATGATTTGACCAGGGTAACAAAGCTAGTAAAGTACAAAGTTTGGACTCAAAACCAGCACTGTATTCGAACCCCATGCTCTTGAGCACTGTAACATATTGTTATTGAAAAACTAAGTTGATATAGTTTTTTAACTACATAAGTACAATATATCAAGCAATCTCATTTAGACCCCATAATAAGAATAAATACATTAGTTTTGTAATGTTAAATAATAATTATGGTTTTAATATCCTACCTATGAAGCCTTTGCCATTATCTACTATAGGTCCCAAGTAATGGAAAAATTCATAGTGACAAGTTAGTGAGAAAAACAACATTGCTTAACAGAAAGACCCTGAGAAAACATAACTGGAATATTCTAAACACTAATTCATCAGCTCTTCTAGAAGGAAAAACAATTTTAACAGTCCATTGAGAATTATTTTGGACCTGACTTGATTCTTTATTCCTTTAGACAATGACTATACAAAAAAAAAGTGTTAAAATCAAAAATCAAAATCTTCAAATATGAGAATTGATACACAACAAAAGTCATTATCGTATAGGAAAACTAAAGTGATCCCTTTTTCCTAAAATGGTGTCAGATATGAAAAAAGTAATGCAAATTTATGTTCAAGGGAACTTTAAGGCAGAATCTTTCATGAGCCAAAGCTTTTAATAAATTAAATTTATACAGAAGCACCTTCCCTGCCTTAATCATAATATAGAAACAAAACTCTTGGTCAAAGAACAGTAATTCATAAGATTGTTTCTCATCCCAGATCTGCCATTTGTAAACGGCAAAATCAGTTTCATTAACTATACAATATGCATTAACAGTACCGTCTACATGTACCTCACAGGACAGCTGGGAGAATGCATGTGAAAGTGCTTTATAAACAGTAAGGTATGACTAAATACAAAGCACTGTGGCTGGTATTGTTGTGTTAGATTTACTCTGCCTATGCTGTTACTTTACTCCAAAAAAGTCACCACCTCCTTTATACTTGTTCTTTTAATCTAGTAAGAACAGGAATTCTATCTAAAATGAGATATGTTATTCCATGTGCTCACAAGTTTTGAGCAAAGACTGGGCCTTCTATCATTTTTTTCTCTAATAATTAGTCTTTTTGCTTTTTTTTTTTTTATTATTTTCTGGTATGTTCGGGATAGTTCAGCTTGCAGGAATGATCAATCACCAAATAAGTATTACTACAGTAAGTTTCTAAAGTATGTTTAAAGTATAAACATACAAAAATATTAGAAAAAAACTGAGGAAAAAAACTGGCTAAATACTGATATTTCACTGCTCTAAAATTACACTATAATCCGTTAACTATATGATAGATACTTCCCCTTCTGAAATGTGAGGTATGATTTTTATCTTTCTACTTCAAGGGAAATACAATAAAATTTCAAAAGAAAGTATTTCCATTGAGATTTACTAAAGAAATTCAGAAGCATCATGAAAGTAGAGTTGTAATGACCTAGAAAGCTAGGAGTCAGTTCTATTGAGTTGAAAGGTGAATAATCATCAATTCAGCTTAGCAGATGCTTTTACACCAGCTTTAGACCAAAGCTTTGCTTGCACATGGAGGGAATGTATTTCTAACTAATAATCGTCTTAGGGGAAAATAAATGGTAGTACTTACCTGCACTAACAAATATTAAAAATTCGGATTATAAACCCAAAGGTCTTTAGGTTAAAAGCTGCTACACAGAAGCCAAGATTTAGTCACACATAGTTACTTTCCAACAAGCAAAAATAGTAATGTCACTACATTTTGCCCTTTTTTACCTACATCCCGGCTTACTTCACCGAGTTTCACCTAAAAAAGAGATAGTGCCTACTTAATGGGTTGTATGGGCAACTAAGATAAAAAATATACATAAATTACTTAACCCCACAGTAGATATCATTACTATTCTACAGACAAATACATAAAAGGAAATTACAGTCTTCAGAGCTTCAAACTTTGAAGTCGCTGCTTAAAAGTAATTGATTTGCCAATACTAGAGTTTACCAGGAAGTAGCACTCTTTAATTAATGATCTGTTTTATGTATAACTGACTGCCAGAAAATAAATCATCTTACTAAATTTTAGAGCCTTATATAATAAAATACAAATAAATTAATAAACTAAACAAGTACTGAATTTCAATTTGGAAGACAGATTTCCTTTAAAGGAAATATATTTTTTTAATGACATAATTATTTTGCATTCGCTATTTCCTATATATTCGGTTAACAAATATTCCCTTAAATTTCAAAATATATTGTCTAACAAGTTTCTTTTCTAAAATATATGGGTCCTTTTGATCTGCTTAAAAACTCTTCTAGGCAATAGAACTGAAACTAACACATGAAAACCCAAGTGTCAGGAACTATTCTGGGCCCTAAGCACTGCTCATGTTTTATTCATCTTTGTATGGGTGGCTGGCTAGTTTAGCAATGAATTTAGCAAGTAAGTCAACAAATATTGGTGAATAAATTAGTCATTAAAACGAGGCAGATGATTTGGCTAATTCAAATGAATGTTCTTACATTATTGCTCAGATTTAGAACAAACCCCAAATATCCCAGCCTTGAAAATTACTGTTTTATGTTTGCAAGGAAAAAGAATAAAAAGAGATCTATTTTCCTATCTAGTTCAGAAACTAAAGTCAAATTAGAATTCAAAAAAAAATCATGTAGTGGAAATCATAACTTCCAAGTTACTAGAAAACTCCTAGAGTCTCAGGGATTTTTTTCCTCCCAATTTTTTCTCTATCTAGCAATACGGTGTCTCAGGAAAAGGAAATAGTCACAAGCCATTGCTCCTTCTAGTATCAGGTATTAATTTCACTAAGACGACTTTAATAATTCAGAAATATCGATTCAAACAAAACAATGTGAGTGTTGCTACCTAAGAACCGACCTAGCGATGCATGGTCGTGGTCATTACTTTGGGAACAGAGTACTCTCGACAATCCGAGGGTTTGGGAAGACAAAACGCAGTGTGAGGCATCAATGAAAGCACATCGCCGGGGGAGGGGAGAGGAAGGAAAAGATCAGAGAGGATTAATGACTGCATTACTGGTGGGAGGGGAGGAGGTGACTTGGGCCAGGAGGCGACAACCCGTACAAGGGGAATGGAAAGATTAATTTTGCAGTGACCGTGGACTGGAGAGTGGGAGGAGGGGCAACTATCAACAGGAATCTCCCCCCTGTGGATGGGTGCGTCACTTACGCAGCCGCTTCGAGAAAGAGAAAATGTGCCCTCTGGTCAATCTCAATAAGCAACTGTGACAGGAAGGGGGAGTGACCTTCCTAAATGTGAGAGGAAATACGGGGTCACTTCCCAATGGACTTAGGGAGGAGCTGTTGCCCTAGGTCCTCCTCGGTCATCTGAGAACAGAGACGATAGTGGTGAGGACCCCCAGAACCGCGTGAGGGACAGAACAGACGCAGAGTGAGGTGTGGGCGTTACCTGCAGGGTCACCTCCTGGGGGTCCCAGTGAGGCCGCAGGTGTTGCAGGAGGCTCAGGGCCCCCTCCCGGCAGCGCTGCTCCTCCTGATCCTGAACAGTGACGTTCAGCTTGGGCACCTCCGGGGAGCCGGGAGGGACGTGGATGTAATTGGCCATGGCCCAGGCGACGGCGGAGACTACCACCACGACGACGGCGACGGCGACCACGAGAACGGCGGGCGCCGACAGACTGGTGGATCCTTCCGTCCCGGGGCGCCCTCGCGGGAGGGCTGGGGGCGCTCGGACGGGCGGGCGAGCGACAGGAGAACGTCTGGAGGCGGCACTGTCGCCGATCCGGGTCTGGACAGCAGCTGAACTGAGCCGTGGCCGCTGTCGGGGAAAATTCCCGTTGTCGGCGCTGGACCGCGGGCGGCCGCGGAGCATGCCGGGGCTGGCCTGACGCTGGCGTCACGCGCGGGGCGGGGCCTGCGCTGCGTCAGGGGGCCGAGGCGGGGTTTCTCGCCTCCGGTCACAATGGGACAACTGCTCGGCGCTGGGCTTGTCGGCCTGCGGTTAGCACACACCCATTCCTGCGAACTGCTGGTCTGGAAATGGGGGCTGCTTCTCAGTAATGAGCTTGAGCCCAGCCAAGCCCCGCAAGGCATTGAAGCTTTAGCTTACAATGATCCGAATGGTCGTGGGCCTCTGGGCTCAAGTTACGACCGAATTTTTCTGGGACACGTTCTGAAATAATCTCAGGATCACTCTCCGAACTTGGCCTGAGTCTAGGCAAGCAGTGTTACTCGGTTGCCTTGATCTTGGAGCTGCTGTGTACTGGGGACCGCAAACTAGTTAACTATATTCCCATTAGCAGTATATGGGATCACAGTACTCGGGACTAGCTGAGTTCAGATATTTGGGTAAGACAACTGCCTTCAGAAGTTATTTGTGGAGTAAGATGTTCGACCATACAGAGACTTATGCTAAGCCGGGAAGAACAGGGTAGAGTCTGGTATAAAGAAGAAAGGGAAGAAAAGGAATAGTTTTGAGGCTTAGCACTAGAACTACTCGATGTCTGTGCCAGGGTACCCCAAGAGGGCCTCGAAACCTTGCGTCTCAGTGCCTTACAGGGAATGGTAGAAACTGGATAATCGTTAAGTAAGGTATTGGGGCCTCCTAATTTTCCTTTTTCATAGAGGAAAATGGGCTGGGAGTCCCTACAGCACTTAGTACTTGATGAATACGTATGTTAGTAGTAAATAAAACCCTTAACTGCACTGAGTTTAATTAACATTCAGAGTGTTTAATTGCTTCACTAGCATTAAGTTTACGTTCTGATTGTTCAGAAAGAACTTACTTACCTTTGTAATTCACAAAATAATTACTTCACGGATAACAGTAAACTTCCTAAACTAAAAACGGGTGGAAATGGAGCTTTATAATACAGCAAAGAACATTTTTCAAGTTTTGGTTTCTTTTCTTCCTTCCCTCCCTCCCTCCCCTTTCTTCCTTCCCTCCCTCCCTCACTTCCTTCCTTCCCTTTCTTTTTGAGACGGAGCCTCGCTCTGTCGCCCAGGCTGGAGTGCAATGGTGCAGTCTCCACTGACTGCAACCTCCACCTGTCGGGCTCAAACGATTCTCCTGCCTCAACCTCCCTAGTAATGGGATTACAGACGTATGCCATCACGCCCAGAAAATTTTTGTATTTTTAGTAGAGAGGGGGGTTTCACCATATTGGCGAGGCTGGTCTCGAACTCCTGACCTCAGGTGATCCACCCACCTTGGCCTCCCAAAGTGCTGGGATTACAGGCGTGAACCATTGCGCCAGGCCAGATTTAGGCCATAATTTTCTACCAGAAACTTTAGATTGTGTGTTCCTTCCACTTTGGGGAGAAATCACTATACTAATACTTTCACATTTCAGATAGTATCTCTTGTATTTTTGTATAAGTTGTATTTTTTATTAAGCAGTTGACATTTTAAGAATTTTAAAGCTATATTTTGTAACTGTAAAATAATTTAATTGAAAATGATGTTGGAAACTACACTAGTTTGTAATGGTAAATAAGAATCCATTAACAAATAGAAGAAAAAAAACAACTATTAGGTACTTGAGAACAAAAGTAAGAAAAAATGTACAGGATCCATGGATAAAATTAATGGAGAAATAAGCCATATTCATCAATGAGAAAAGATTAATATAAAGGCCTCAGTTCTCCCTGAACTAATCATTATATATAATGCAATCCCAGTTTAAATCTAAAAAGAGTTTTTTTTACTGAACTTGTTAAAGTGACATTGAAATTCATATCAAAACTTAAGGTCCAAGAAAACCACTGTAATTGGGGAGAGGGAGATGGGGACAGATAGGATTAGGGAATAAATTGGGAGGACCCTTCCCACCAGGATTTATTATATATTGGTTTAGGTATGGACAAATAAACCGCTAGAACATAAAAAAGACCTGGAACAAAACTTACACACATATGAGAACTTTGCATATAACAAAATTAGCATTAAAAATTAGTGAGAAAATCTGGACTGAGCAAGGAACAGTAGTGGTACAATTGCTTTTTGTATGAGAAAAAAATTTGATCCCTCCCTCTTATTATGTATAAAAATTAATTCGGGGAAGATTAAAAACCTAAATGTTAAAAAGGAAACTTTAAACATGTGCAAGAAATGTCAATTCTTATCAACCTGATCTACAGATTCAATTGTAATTACCCCAGGTTAGTTATGTTGTAGATTGTCAGCTTAAACAGATAAACCAGTTCCAATGTTTATCTGCAAAGCCACAAGAGCCAGAATAGCCAAAACAATATTAAAGAAAAATGAAGTCATAAAACACACAGACAGACTTGAAGACAGTATAGCTGAGTACAGTGGCTTATGCCTGTAATCCCAGCATTTTGGGAAGCTGAGGTGGGAGGTTTGCTTGAGCCCAGGAGTTCAGGACCAGCCTGGGCAATGCAGTGAGACTTCATGTCTCAAAAAAAATAAAATAAAATAAGTAGCCAGGTGTGGTTGTGCATACCTGTAGTCACAGCTATTCAGGTGGCTGAGACAGGAGGATTGCCTGAGCCCAAGAGATTGAGGCTGCAGTGAGCCATGATCAAGTCACTGCACTCAAGTGTGGGCAACAGAACGAGACTTTGCCAAAAAAGAAAAAGGAAAAAAAACATGTATAAGCTGCAGTAATTAAGAGAGGGTAGTATTGAGGCAGAGGAGGGTAGATCACTTGGGGTCAGTAATTTAAGACCAGCCTAGCAAACTAGTGAAACCCTGTCTCTACTAAAAATACAAACATTAGCAGGGCATGCTGGCAGGCACCTGTAATCTCAGCTACTCAGGAGGCTAAGGCAGTAGAATCACTTGAACCCAGGGTACAGAGGTTGCAATGAACCAAGATTGCACCACTGCACTTCCGCCTGGGCTACAGAGGAAGACAAAATATGAAAATGATTAGATGGATGGATAGTTAGATCAATAGATCATTAGATGTTAGATAGACAAATAGGAATGAATTATAGCAGAATATAGATGACAAATTGAACATATGCATCTACTTATGCACATATTCAGGAGGCAACAGGGACCCTAGAAGTCAAAAATGAAGCACTTATTCAGGAAACCCAAAAGCCCTTCTGGTTAGTTGAGTTCTCTAGCTCTTCTCTCCACCTGTTTTTACCTCTCTTCTGTTTCTAATTATACGTTTTTGCTTCCTCATGATTTCTGCCTACTGGCTTCTTTTCATGTGTTTTCCTATGATTTAGATCTTACTCAAAAGTTGTTTCCTTGGGGGGACCTTTCCATCCAGCACTTCCCTTATCAAAATAACCTGTTGTTTTTTTTTTAAATATATCATGAAACGATGTGAGTTACCTTGAAATCAATGTATTCACTTTTTTTTCAGCAAAAAGCAAAAGTTTATTAAGCACAGTAACACTCCCAGAGAGAGGAGAACATGCTGATCTATGTGAAATGAGATCAGCCGAACTCAATGTATTTCTTTTATTTACCTTATTAGTGTCCCTCTTATATATTAGAATGTTAGTGCCAGGAAAGCAGAGCCACAGCTTGTCTATTGCCACATTTCCACTGCCTACAATAGTGCCTAGAACATAAAAGATAATAAATGCTTAAGCTCACCTAATTAGTCCTGAAACAATATCAGTCTCACATAAGAATAGCCCTCAGCCAGGGGTTGTATCCGCTGATCTCCATAACTCACTATGCTGAAATCACCTGCCTGACCATTTCCTAGGCCACTAGCCAGCCCATTAGTTACCTTTGAGTATGGAAAAAAACCTTAGCTACCGTGTGTCAGTAAAATAGTCCAGCATCTTGCAACATATGTCGAGAGAATATAACATAGCAATGAAGATACAATATTATTTTGAAGTATCCAACACATTTAATAGTCCCTTTCCCATACTTCTCATGACATTGGGACCTTCCAATACCTGGAATGTCCTGCCTCCTATGTCTGCTTCTTAAACTCTCACTCATCCTCCAAAGCTTAACTCGCCAGCAGTCTTCTTCATGGAGCTTATCTGGATTTTCCTAGTCCAAATTTACTTCTCCCTTTTATATATCTGTTAAAACACCTACAAAATTCTGCCTCATGACACCCACATTGTGAATTTAAGTCATAATGATTATGCCACGTATAAAAGACTAGAAAAGCTGTTCCTAACTTGTTACATAATGAGCATTTGTGTGAGGGAATGAAAGGATCACTGAATATAACCCCAGGGGTGCTCTGGTTGTTACATGACAAGGGTCCGGATTCAGACTCCAAGAGAGGGTTCCTGGATCTCATGCAAAAAATAATTCAGGATGACTCTGCTGTGCAAAGTGGAAGCAAGTTTATTAATAAAGTAAAGGAATAAAAGAATGGCTATTCCATAGACAGAGCAGCTCCAGGGGCTGCTGGTTGCCTACTTTCATGGTTATTTCTTGATGATATGCTAAACAAGGTGTGGATTATTCATGCCTCCTCTTTTTAGACCATATAGGATAACTTCCTGACATTGTCATCACATTTGTAAACTGTCCTGGTACTGGTGGGAGTGTAGCAGTGAGGATGACCAGAGGTCACTCTCATGGCCATTTTGGTTTTGGTTGGTTTAGGCTGGCTCCTTTACTGCAACCTGTTTTATCAGCCATTCCTCATGTTTCTTCTGAGCAGCAGTGAGAGATCACTGGTTGGTTTACAGAAATAAGCAGGGTTAGTCTAAATTGCAGAAACAAAAACAACTGATGAGACTAGAATTTAATAACAAGTGTACCACAGTTTTTGAAACATATTTACTTTCTCCAGTTTCCCATTTTTACTAAAGACAAATTATGGTAAGGCCAATTTGCTTTATTATAATTGGCCTGGTTATTTGCATAAAGTGCAGCAAGAATACTTATTTGCCATATAGGCTTTTTAACTGGCTCTGATGGAACTTTGTTCCATAAGGAATCTCACATAAGACATTTTTAGAGCCAAGTCATGCCATGGGTTTATGCCCTTAAATACCTGAGTTGATTAAATTCCTTTCCTTTTGGGGTCCCAATATAACTTGGGACTCTTGAACCTGAGAGAAAGTGACATTCTTTACTTACCACAGATCAGAAACTCTGTACAAGGGACTGTGTAGGCAAGGTATGAGGCCAGTTCCCCAAAGGACTTTTATTAGCTTTACAAGTGAAGTATAACTGATTTCTCCAATTGTGTTCCGTTGCAAAAGAAAACTGAGTTTTGGCCGGGCACAGTGGCTCATGCCTATAATCCCAGCACTTTGGGAGGCTGAGGCGGGTGGATCACGAGGTCAAGAGATCGAGACCATCCTGGTCAACAAGGTGAAAC